GTATAGTATAGTATAGTATATAAAATATCCAATATGTTAATACAGTGTAATATATGCTAAATTATATGTGGTATTTGCACAAATTTGGTATTCAAATATATAATAAAAATATGCGGTATTTGACCACTTACCAGATAAGGATGTGTTTCCGTGTTGATAGATAACTTCGGTATAATATTGCAAGTAGAATGGCGAGAAAACAAGACGGCCAATTCAAGATAAATTGATAAAATCAAGATATTTTTGAAAGAATAGCTCGACTACACGAGGCCAAACTATGCCCATTCGCAGGTTAGATGCGGCACGATGTAAACAATTGATGTAAACTAATCGCTGATTGGCTTAAATTGGCTCAATTATATAAGCTCGTCGCTGAATGGCTGCGTGCTAACACACGGTACGGTACGGTGCGTATGCGACAGCAATATATCTGCTTCGCAGATATAAAAAGGACGTTTTTTGGATTATATCTTGTCAGATTTTATTTTTTACATAATTATACCAAACATATTTATATCAAACATTAAGTATACAGTAAAATCATTCTTACAACTTCAATAAAATGCTTGTTTCAAAATGTATTGTAAATATCTAAGGAGTACTTTGGCACAACATGAGTGTATTCATAATTCTCATCCGCACAAGCATAACAAAAATTCAATGGCAGATATGTGGCAAAGTCAGACTACTGTATAATGTGCTTATTATATCCATATTCAGTATTTTTGACACTTTTTAGGACAAGAATTTTACGGAGCGAGACACGAGTGGAATTTAGCCAGCTACGTCAATGCATATCCTCCAAAGAACATTTTCGTATTCTGAATTGACAGATTGGTTGGTGTATCATGAGTTCCCCAGCGATGTTGTAGAACGTTTTTGTGAGTTGCACGTTACTTTATTTTAGTGTAAAAGTAAAAAGGAATATTTCTTGTTTTTAACAGTTTCGTATTATTATTTCGTTTTAATTATTTCTATATGTAGAAGAAGAAAAGTTAGATGGCGAAGACGTAGTGCCTTTGTACAAAGATGTAGAAGAAACGGAATATTTGCTCGCAAATAGGAATTTTACGTCTGTCATCTTGTTATTATTATCATATTAATTAACTCTGCCAAGGGTGTGGAGGAAACCAGCTTTGCAAAGATACAACTTTAGCTGTAGGCAATAGTTTAAAGTGCCACTAACCCCCTAAATTTTCTTTTCATAAAATCAATAACCGCTATTTATGGAGTACAAAAATGAAAAAAAAATTTTAATCGGTTGAATTCTCGCTATTCTATGGCTTCTCAAAGTTTGAAAAATTGCCCTAAAATCGACGCCATTTTGTCCCACGAGCGAGCGCCGATGATCTGGGCTTGTGACGTCAATTGGTGAACCGGCTGTTGTGTCAACACAAGTGTTTACAGTGCTAGGTGAGTTTGTTAGGCATGCGAACGGCGAGAAAATGCCGAAAAGATGCGTTGTTGCCGGTTGTAACAACATAGGAGACAAGGAAAAAGAATTGTCGTTGCATGCAATTTCTTATTCGGGGAACGAACGGCCCGAAGTGAAAAAAAACGAAAGAAATGGACTGACTTCGTAATAAGCCTCAAACGTGCAAAATGGACGCCGACGTCGTATTCAGTCATATGCTCTGAGCATTTCAAGCCCGAGGATTTTTTGCGACGGTTTTCCCATGTCGAAGGTGAAAGCTTCGTTGGCAACAGATGGCTCAAAAGGAACGAGATCGGAATTTGTGTATTCCCAACAATCATGCCATCAGCTGACGCACAGAAAGTTTCAGACAGATACAAGCGAATGGTATGCTAATTTTGTATTTTATACATAATTGTGCGTAACTTGAATTTGTTTGACTAAACTGATTTAATTAATAAACATATCATTATATAACATGCTAACACTGATATACAGTAATTGGGTAAAGCATATAAGAAAGACAATTTCGTTTAGTCTGTGAGAGCTTTCTTTGTCATTAATTCTGTCTTCAGACTTCAGCCTTGCAGAATTTTGTAATTTCTGTGTGCAATTTGATACAGTATTATACAGTGATATAATTCTCCATCTATGTCTCTTGCTATGCCTATGTTTTAGTGAAGTCAATATGCCCACTATGACCCATAGGTGTGTATTTTAAGGATGTCTGAGGAGGGTATCATATTTGACTGTCAAAATAATTATAGTGAAATATTGATCAATGCATACCATGTACCCATGTATATATATGTATATCCATGTTTGATTTGTACAGATTATGTCGAAGAAATATTTCAAACTTTTCTCAATGTTACCAAAGATGATCTTAAAAAGGCAGCCACGCAACTCAAAGAGTATGGTGTCTTTGCAAAGTGTTGCCCACTGCCGATGGCCCATAGATAAGTTACCCAGTATGCTTGCTGTTAATATAAATCTTTTTGTTACTGTAGTTTCACTACTATGTTGTTGAACAGAGCCAAAAGAAGTCTAAAGCAGCACCAAAATGCAGGGCATGTGAACAACCCATGAAAGGACACAAGTTTGTTACAGACTGTCCAAGGAATGAAAGGAGCACATCATAGTGTATTATATGGATAAGGCATTTGAGGAGGGAGGGCATATTGGGAGGTGTTTTTTTTTTCAGAAGGGCATATTAGTATTATTCAGGATGTTGGGGATTTATAATAGAGATTGGGGCTTATATTACACCAGGAAGGGTCTTAACAGAGGGGAAATATTTGGAAGGGTGGTGCTTATTAGGGATGGAGCTTACTAGGGAGGGTGGCGCTTATTAGGAGAGGACTCAATAGAGTGGGTACTTTATAAGGAGGGTAGTGCTTATTAGGGGGGGTGGGCAAATAGAGAGGGTGTTTATTGGGAGGGTGGTAATTATTGTGGAAGGGGCTTAATAGGGAGGGGGCTTAATAGGGAGGGGGCTTAATAGGGAGGGTGCTTTATAGGCAGGGTGGTGATATTTGTTAAATAAATTATATTATGCACTACTTGTATCAAGTTTGCTGTACTTTACTTGTTTTCTATCCCTGATGAACACTAGTCAAAACTGATTTATGTTGATACCAAATATGTTCCATATAGGTTTCATTAGAGTATAATATTTAAATAGTACAGTAAAACCCTGCTTTACAAAAGAACCAGTTCAGACTAGAATTCCAAAACAGCTTCTTATTTTATCGAAGAAGCAAAAAATTAAACATCAATTAAAGAAAATAAGCTCTTTATAAAGTAATGGAAACACTGTTATTTTGTAAACATCTACGGTAGGTTCTTATACGATGGGTTTTACTGTATGTTAGCTTAGTCATTAATTTATTCAAATATTTTATCCTCCTCCATTTCAAATCTGGTAAATGATTCATCTTTTGTGAGAGGAAATTTCTTCCTTATTGCATGGTATGCACATGCAGCAGTGGGATTCCTGTTTTTCCAATGACACCATACACCATCCTTGTAAACTTTCTGTATGCCACACTATGTCAAAACCTAGAAGAAATGAACAACTTTATCATAAGTAATTGTATGTAGACAAATGCAAAAACTATTTCAATAAACTAGTATTTTATATTGCAAAGAACAACCCAAACTATAATAGCTATATATAGAAACTATACATACATATAGTTCCTGATTTTGGTTACACCAACATTCATTTTTGAGATGTTTATGCTTATTGGAGACACTGGTCATGGAACAGTGTGTACCCCATAAATATATCCCTGAAAGAGGATAAAGCTCTATATGTTGAACAGTCTGTTTAGTCTTTACAGTTTTACACAAATTTTGGAAACAATAGACCTTACCATTTATTCACTAGTGACCAAATGGTCTCGTTTCCATGTTTGCCTATTTTAGCATGGCAGGCGCACATGTATGAAAGTTAAATATTCATGTTTCCTGCACAAGTTTGTCTCTCATTGATCTTAAGTCCAATCACAAGCTTATTCTTTACTCTCTTATGCACAAAACATGAGTTTTAATATCACATGAAAACGAGGCATTGGGTCAAAAGTAAATAAACGGTAAGGTCTATTGAGTTTCAATATAGGTAACTCTCCCATTAATGTTTAGTAACATTGTCTGGTTGTTTAGACAGAGTAAGATAAATATGAGCACACTATTGAGACACAGTGCAGCTTCCAACATTCCTCTCAATGGTCTATCATTATCTAAGTGAAATATGAAACAAATGGTGTTCTGTAATTTTACTCTGCCTGATACTGCTGATTAGGGAAAGTCCATGAACATATAGTTCCGCATGTTCCTTTGTCAAATAAAATTGCCTGGTGTTAGAGAGATTTGTAGGTAGGGTGCATAGGAGCACTAGAGCGATTTCACCAAACATTGAAAAACATGATTCGGATGTATTGCCAGGACACCGAGAAAAGTTGGGACGAAGGAATTCATTTACTTTTATTTGCTGCACGCGATTCAGTTCAAGAATCTTTAGGCTTTACTCCGTTTGATTCCAGCTCACAACAGCAAAATATTTGCATTCTTGCCAATTACTCAAAAACTCCAGGCTACAATTTTCACATTTGCACCTAATATAAATGATTTAATATTGACAACATGAGTGGCCATGCCATGAAATAATCTTTAACGTAAATATGTTTATTAAAATAGTATAGTATAGTATGGTATAGTATAGTATAGTATAGTATAGTATAGTATAGTATAGTATAGTATAGTATAGTATAGTATAGTATAGTATAGTATAGTATAGTATAGTATAGTATAGTATAGTATAGTATAGCATAGTGTAGTATACTTACCACTCATAAAGTTTTGCAGTTTCATGCAAACGCTTCAATATCTCGTCTTTAATGATCTCGTTCGCCCTCATGTCCACTCCTCATCAGCGACAGGATCATCAACCCGAGCATAGGCTGCATAGCTGCATAGGCATGATATAAAGGCATCATCATCGCTTGAAACCAGATATATCGGCTTCTAAGCCTTCTATCCCTACATTTTGTCATACTCTGATAAATAATCGTTCCCTGATGCGAACGAAGAAGCCTCGGAAGATGCATCCGTCGAAGACATTGCAAAAAGATATAAAAAACCGCGAATTATTCTTCGAAATTAAAGCTTCTTTGTAATGGTAAATGTATAGTGTTTACAAGGAGGCTTCGCATGAGTTGACCAATTGACGTCACACATTCCTCTCTCACCAGTCTCCCAAAACTCGGTCGTGGAACAAATGTGTGCACACTTTGAGAAGCCATAGAATTGCGAGAATTCAACCGATTAAAAAATGTTTTCCAGTTTTGTACTCCATAAATAGCGGTTATTTATTATTTGAAAAAAAAAATTAGGGGGTTAGTGGCACTTTAACTCATGGAACAACTAGATTATTTACAGGGTGTTGTCATAAAGACGCACTCAAACACTTTACGTTTAGTCGCTTATAGTCAGCTGTCGAGGCAAGTTATTAATCTTTTTAGCAGTAAGTTTTACACATTGCGATTTTTTCGTGAAGATTGAAGTTGTTTTCACTATTTTCACTATATATTCAGGTGAGTTTTCTTTATAACGCTAATAGTATATTCGAACAACATTTTTTGTGGTTACGTTGGTAGTGGTATCCTATTATTAATTTTACTTGTATATATCCATCACTGACCTGAATTCTATGGCTGTTTCGTCCACGGGTACTGATATACCTAGGGTACTGATTTTGGGCCATTCATTTGTTCGTAGACTTCGAAGTGATCTACATGCACGTTTCGACGAGCGGGCAGCCAAAAATTTTGACCTGCAGGGAACATCCGAAATATTTATGGATGGCGTATGAGGTCGAACAGTCCCAAAATTAAGACAGATGGATATGGAGGTAATCACTAGAATATCCCCTGATATAGTCATTCTCGATATCTTGACGAATTACGACTTAGCTCTTGCCCCACCTGAGGTAGTGGGTTCTGACATCGAGGAACTTGTTCGCTTGTTGATCGCGGAGTACTTCGGACGCGCCGTGGTTTAGTGCCAGGTCACTCCACGTGCGACAAACAAGAGTTCTAATTTTAATGCGAGAGCCAAGCTTTTGAATCAATACACCCGGGTAGTGATCGATCCCATAGAACAAGCCATTTGTTGGACTCATAGAGGTTATTCGAACCCATCCGTAACCTCCTTTTTATCACACGGAGTACATTTTAACCCCATGGGACAATATACCTTGTACAGGAGTTATCGCGATAAAACACGCCATAGGAGCAATACGGCAAGATGGTAATTGATATGGTTATGTTAAGTCTGTTATTTAAGTTAGTATTAAGTATTTTATGCGAACTTTGTATTTTCACTAGGAGCGAAGTTTTGTTCCAAAGGTTGTTAGATTTATATAATATGTGTCATATATCCTCTGCTAAGGATTTGTTCTATGTCCTCTGATTGAGGACCTGTCTTATATCCGCTTTTTGAGGAGTAGGCTTATATCCTCTGATCGAGGAATTGTCTTATATCCTCTGATTGAGGATTTGTATTATATCCTCTTGTTGGAGGAGTCGTCTGATATCCACTGATTGGGGATTTTCCTAGGCAATGAGGAACTATTTGTTAGCAGAGGTGTAGTACCGTTTTGGCGCTTGCCCTCCTTTAAATTTATGCCACTCTCTTCTTTAGAATGCCACCTAAAAAGTTGCAAGCGAGAAAGCGAGCCCTTCGAACGGCAGACGAAGGCCCATCAGCGCAACGCAGCCGTCGTCAATCGACTAGGAACTCGACATTGGCGTCCCGTTCGAATGTAGTTGTGGCAGCCGAAGATGAATCCAGTGTTATACCGCTGTCCACTGTGCCTCCTACCATGGTTCAGCAACTCGATCCCGAACTAGTACTGGTCCAATCAATAGTGTCTACCGTTGCAGCGGAGGTCACCCGAAAACTGGCAGCGACTTTACCAGCCCTCACTTCGCCAACTGACGGGTTTCCAGCGACTCGACGCCTTTCAGCTACGCCAGAACCAGCAGAGGAACGTCGTCTGTCTGCGCCACCATTGCCTGCAAGTTTAGCCACGACTCTGGTGGAGGGAGCGATAGCTGCGGCACACTCTCGGTAGCAGGTGCGCCTCAGTGATTGCATGCCTACTAATGTAATGCTCCGAGGGTTAGTACTCCTAGCAACATTTTTCTTTCGGCGAGTTTACCGATTGACTCTCAGATTTCCTCAAACTTTAAAGAAAAAATTTGGAACGAGGAGTTTTGTACAAAATTCCGACGCCAGAGCCCCGGCTTCATTTTGTCTCGAACCAATGTCGCGACCGAAAAAAATCATGTCCATCGAGGTTTGGCAACAGGACTTTCGTATTTTTGTTGGCGTTTACACGCAAAAAAACCCACATGAGGCCCCCGCTCTGAAATATGGGCAACCTATTCGTAACTTGGCTGTCCGCGGTCAGAACTGGAGTTATTACGACGAAAACGTTGATATTTAAGACGCACGCAGGCGAGCCTGGTCCTTTGGGGTTCGATACACGGTGAACTGTGGTTGCGTTCGCAATACCCAGTTAGAGCGCCGCCGCCCAATAAACGAATGATCGGAATTTCAACAACAGTAGGCCCTTCAGTGCCTTCAGGATTTTGTTTCAAATTTCATCGCGGTCAGTTTCGTGCAACTGGCAGTTGCGGTTTTAAGCATACTTGCTTTAAATTAAATAAACGTACGCATCGAAATGCAATAAAGGTACGCATCGTGTGAGTCAGTGTAATTTTCGTGGCTCAACCAGTAAATCAAACGTTAATTAAGTTAAGTATCTTTCTGGTTATCACCCAGATATTGTTAAAGATATTATTTCCGGATTTTCATCAGGTTTTTCCTTACATTTTCAAGGGCATCGACAATTTTTTTACCTAAAAATTTACCTTCGGCTTTACAAAATCCTACATATGTAGACAGGAAACTGGAACAAGAGTTGGCCGCAAACCGAATAGCTGATCCGTTCACGTCTCCCCCATTTCACTCTTTTTGTGTTTCACCGCTTGGCCTAATTCCAAAGAAAATTCCAGGTGATTTCAGGCTGATTCTTCACTTGTCCTTTCCGAAAGGAATTTCGATAAATGATGGAAAAGTTTCAGAGAACACACATGTTCAATATGCCACGGTCACCGATGCTATAAGACTTATCAAACGCGCGCGGGACATGGTAAAACTGATATCAAAAGCGCATTTAGAATCATACCGATTCACCCAAATGACTACCCTTTGTTAGGGATGAAATGGTGGGGACTATATTATTAAACGACCGCTGCATGCCAATGGGTTGTTCCAGTTCGTATAAGACATTTGAGATTTTTAGCACTGCTATTCAATGGATTGCTCGACATAAGCTCGAAGTCGCATAGCTCCTGCATTTTATTAGATGATTTTCTTTTTGTTTCTGCTACATATATTCAGTGTCAATCCAATTTAAGTCGTTTTATTTGTTTATGCAACCAGCTTGGCATCCCTGATAGCACCAGACAAAACGTTTGGACCATCCACTACTCTAACCTTTGCTGGTATAGAGTTGGACTCTATTAAGTCCGAAGCGAGTCTACCGAGAGACAAAATTGCTAAATGCGTAGAAACTATCGAAGCATTTTTGAAAAGGAAAAAAGTACAGCTGCGAGAGCTACAATCTTTGATTGGGCTCCTAAATTTCGCGACGAACGTTATAACACCCGGTATACTACCTTTCTCAGGCGTTTTTACGATCTTACGCAAGGTGTGACAAATCCACACCATTTTATACGATTGTGTTCTGAGGCTTATAAGGTCGATTTACGGGTTTGGTTAGCGTTTTTATCTTCGTTTAATGGAGTTTATTTTTTCGAAATGAAATTTGGGGTAATTCGATAAAATTAAAGTTATTTACCGATGCGGCCGGCTCTATTGGATTCGGCGCGATTTTTGGCAATGTTTGGTGCTATGGGCGATGGCCTGATCATTGGTTGCATCGTGACATCGCTATTTTAGAGTTCTATCCTATCGTCCTCAGTTTATGTCTATGCATGGCATGGGGCAACAAAATGCGAAATCATTCTAATTTATTTTTTACCGATAACGAAACACTAGTTCATGTTATTAACAAGCAATCATGCCGGGATAAAATTTTAATGGTTTTTGTTCGTAAGTTGGTCCAAGACTGCTTATAGAACACAACATTGCATTCAAGGCCAAACATATTCCGGGTACTAATAACAAGTTAGCTGATAGCTTATCTCGATTGCAGGCAGGCACGGATTTTCGGGGGGAGGGTGTGCTGGGGGGTGCGCACTCCCCAGAAATTATTTGCACCCCCCAGAGGCATTTGGCACCGCCCCCAAAAGTTTTTCCACCCCCGCAAATTATATATATTTTGATTTGATAGTTTCATATTTGATTATTCTTACTACTAAATTTGTAAAATTACCAATATTATGGTCTCAGATCTCGCCATCAGAGCTTGGAAACTGTTTACTCAATTCCACAGTACGTTGTTTCAGACAGCATGCAGAAATGTAATTTAATCGTGCATGCATGATCAGTGATTGAATAAATTAATGCAATTTAAGTGCAGCTGTTATTTATGGTAAGAATTCATATTAATCTTTATAGGTAGAATTCCCTACATACAACTCAGATACTATTTGCTTTTAATTAACAATTATACAGTTGTTCAAGAATTCCACCCTAGACCTTTATACCAGAAAACATCTTAAGGTGAACTACAGTGTATGACAAATCATTTTTTCGGTTTAATCAATTTAATGCTTAAATTATGCTATAATTAGGGCATGTTTTCAGTGCAAATTATCAAAACATTTCAAATTACGTACGCCTGAATTCAAGATAATAATAAATAATAATAATAATTAATAATAATTCAAGATAATGCCAGACAATATATATATATATATATATATATATATATATATATATATATATATATATATATATATATATATATATATATATATATATATATATATAGTGCTGATTCTGTTAATTCTACATGCATGCATGCATGCATACATATACACATGCATATATATACCTTCCCTATAGCAAGGGAATAGGCGGCTTTGTACACTTATGTATAGATGTACAAAGACTGACAGCGCATATGTTCAAGTCACAAGTCAATCTCCTCCGTCTTCCTGACCATTTTGTGTAGTGTATCTCATCAAAAATTAAATTACTTTTTTTTCGCATGTAATTGTTTAAATTTGAGTTAAAATAATTCTTCACGTGCTGAAGTTTCGAGTTGACACGACTTGAAACAGAACGTTGAGGTGGCACGCCTTGCAAGTGGAGAAATTTCAATTTAATTACAACAATTTCAATTTAATTAAGAGCAACTAGAATCTACCTTGGAATAAATTTTGTGCCGTGCTGAAGTTTTGGGTTGTCTCGAACTGAAACAGAACGTGAGGCGGCGCGGCGCGCCTTGCGAAGGTTACAATTTTAGTTCCTCGTAGGTTCTGTTGCATGCCAAACAGGCAAAATGATGCATGTGGAAAATCCTCGCGGGAATAAAATTATGCTCAAAAATATAAAATCGGTGAAATATTCTACACCTAATGAGCAATGGAAGGAAATAAACAAAAATAATTTAGGCAAGTTTACAAAACAAGTTGTATAAACAAACACATGTAAAGTCAATTAAAGGCATAAAGCTGTCAAAAAAACCCGACCTATAAGTGCAAAAAGCACCGCCGGTGGATATTCATCAAGCATGTACCGGAATTCCCATACACCGTTTACGTGGGGTTTCCACAAACCTAAAATTATATATTGTTTATTATCTTATTACTAAAGTTTCTTAATTAAGATGGTCCCTACGCTTTTTAAAAATGTTAAAAATTCATGATTGTATAATTATTATGATGATCATTTTTTTTTTATTCCACAAACAAAATATTATAAACAAACATGATTGTTAATTTTCTAAAATTCGGCTTGTTTATGCAGATCGTCTATTTTGCTATAGGAAAATGTTTTATGAAATAAGAATGGGAGTAACCAGCCGTTTTTTCAAGTAAAGTGCAATGCAATAAAACCCAAAGTATCGGTATTGTCAGAGCAACAATGGTGACGTCATTTATTAATTGAATTACATATTATTCTCTTCCGTTGATATACAGCATTCCAAGCAGCTTGTGCAGCAGTAATACTACCTATTTTGCTCAAGTGCAGAGGATTTGCGAATTATGACGATTCCGTAATTGATTTTACGACTGTAACTATATATTAAAGATTAAGATACCCCGCCCCCCGTTTACGGGTACCCTAATGGAGCCCGTACCCTAATGGAGCTCGCATGATAATACTATTTTACTACCCGTGAATGGGAACCGGGTATATTTACCTCTGTATTATGTTAACCAAGCGGGTTGTAGGTTTACAGCATCTAAATATACCTGGAACTTGAATAACCGTCTATATATGACCTACATTAAAACTGTTACTCCTGTTCCACGCCTGGACTTAATTGGGATGGCTGATGACACTTACGACTAACTGGTCCTCATGCATGAAGATGTCGTTATATGTCAAAAATTGCTTATAGCAATTTATTTCATTTCGCTTTTCAACTTAAAAAATGTTATGATGCATTTAACATTTTAGGATGATCCAGACTCAGAAATTGACCTGCAAAGATCATCCAAGTTCCCTAAATTGGTCCTTGGAGCAGGGATCGAAATATGTAACCTGAATTCTGCATTCATCAGCGCAGAAGGAGAAAATATTGTTAAGTTTGGAGATGCCGTGACAATTGACATGCAGCGCCCTCCTCACACTCCACGCTGCCTACTATGTTTTTAACATCTCTTACCCTCCAAAATGGAAAGACGTTTTCTTGTCCATTGATACCATTTTGTGTGGCATTAAAGATGCTGCGGCAAAAAGAATTTCACTGCAAAATTTCATGTCACAGCTTCATGCATGATTCTGTATATTCAGGATGTTTGATATATAGTTGTGAGGTTGTTTTATGCATGCACGTTGCTATATAGCTTTGATAATCTAACAGAAGATAAACATATTGTGAAAACCAAGATATATTCATTGAGTATAGGCTATATAATAAATTTCTGTCCCATTGATAGGGAATCCGAGATACCTACTGATATCAATGTAAAGGTAAATCTTTCTCCTCAATTATTGCAAGACCTTAAGTATAGTGGTCCAAACAAGGATTGAACCCGGGTTCTAGCTTGAAAGGCAAGCGTGCATGGTGACCATACACGACACGACATAAGCTGGTATTAATGTTTTAATTTTTTCATTTATGCATGAATACCTGAAATAAAGTCTTGTTTTAATTCACATCTTGAAATTTTCAATATTTGTATCTTGGTTCCTTTTTAAATTGGTGTGACCGGTGTTGTTTAAATCTTTATACTGCATGCATGCATGGTTTATTAATTGCACTGCATGTATTTCACTGCATAATTATATTGAATTAGATGTAGTTTAATTAAGTAATAATCAATTCACTTATGAATTTCTCAAAAGATAGCATTTATTGATTGTTATTTGAGTGATATGTTTATTATGTTGAATTAAGGCGATTCGTGTAAGTAATGCATGCGCATCATTTGCGCATGCTAATTTGCCAATTATTGCTTCCCTTGCAGTGTTCTTTTGGGGAGTAAAAATTACCCCTATTTTTATATCGGGTAAAAATTACTCCCGTAAGAGAAGTGTAAAAATTACTCCCATGGGAAGGGTAGAAATTACCCCATTTTCAGAGGGGTAAAAATCGCCCCAAAAAATCGGGACCGTTCATTGGACAAACATATTACCCCATAGTTTGGCGCAAATTTTACTCCCTGAAATTCACAGTGCAGGCGTCAGCTTGCCGATAATGGCTGCTACTATGGCGCTATCTATCGCATATTTATTTGAGCGAAATTATGCATCGTCGACGGTTAATACACCCATACATACACACACAAAATGGTTTCAAAACACATTTATTGCAAACATTTTTACGAGTTATACCTTGAATGCATCAATATTGCCTGTAACAATATTGTGTTCCACATTTATGATATCACATGAAATGACATTTGATGCAGCCGTTGGTAAATACATCCAAGATATTTTAGATGAATTTTCAAAAGATCCAACTTCTGGCACATTTGACAATATAATTAATCTGAAACTATGTGGAAACGAGAAAGCAGTGTTCTGGTGCCCACAATTACTCATTATAATCTGAAGCTACATTTCATGTCCAGAACACAATGTATACTGTTCTTGAGCCGGCCTTGTGGACAAATCTCGTGGAAACGAAGAGTCCGCGCAACCCACGTTTAGTTTACGACCTGAACAGAAATACTCTGCTGGTGCAAAGATTTCATTTTTGCCGCGGATAAGAGAGAGGTTTGGAGAGGTAAGAATTGTTCCATGTCTTTACTCAGCAGAATGTTTTCCAATCAAATTCCTTTACAGATCTGCGTTTTCTAAACAGGCTGTTGATTATGTGACATCACGATTAACAAGAGAAACTGTTGAGGAACATTTCCGCTCTCTTGGATTGTTCATGCACGACTCTCTCGGTGTCGAAGATCCACATATTTTACGCCAACTTTTTTGTTGACCGTATTCATGAGTTTGTTGACGAATATGCATGCTACCATGCTTGGGATCGATGAATCACACTGAACTGATTAACGAAACAGAACAGTTCTGGAAATAAGGTGTATTTTATAGTCTCGGATATTGTTGTGAAAGTATGAACATTCCGAGATTCTTAAGGTGTCAATTGTTGTAGTAACATCTAAAGACGCGCTGAAAATTGGAGAAATATCAGCCAATTCCTATTTTACTCGAAATTGGTGACCGTTGGGGGTACCCTGACCAAAGAAGATAAAGTCACATGTGCGTGGGCGAGGCGTTTGGATAGAATTCCATTCGAGGTGCCTCGTAGAATCAAAGCTTTCCAAATTAACGATTTGGACGCTATCGTGAAAAAGTTTAACGATAGTGTTAAATTTGAAACATCTTCAACCGTCACGTAAAAGGGAGGACATTTTGAGCGCGATCTGTTGGGGAAATTAAATATTCCTGCAGTGAATTTGAAAAATATTGGTTGTCCGAAAGCTGCTATAGTCTCTTTGACGATTTGGTCTGGTTGGAGACATGTGAACATCACCTTGAGGCTAATGCCTACCAACATTGTTCCAAAGTAGAGGTGGAAGCCTTCGGGAAGTGGCTGAATCGTCGGTTTCAATAAAGGTGTGAAAACCCCAGCTCTCTTAAGAGCCACCACATTGTTCAAAAGAATATATTAAACGAAATAACGATATTGATCACTAGTAAAATAACGTTAACGCGCGCGTACACCTATACATACAGACACAAAATGGTTTCAAAACACATTTATTGCTAACATTTTTACGAGTTATACATTGAATACAACAATATTGCCTGTAACAATATTGCGTTCCACTTTTATGGTATCGTATGAAATGACATTTGATGTAGCCGTTGGTAAAGTTGGTAAGTACATCCAAGATGATGAAAAGATCCAACTTCCGGCACATTTGACAAATGAATGTAATTAATCCGAAACTATGTGGAAACGAGAAAGCAGTGTTCTGGTTCCCAATTACTCATTATTGTCTGAAGCTACATTGTCCAGAACACAATACTGTTCATGAGCCGGCCTTGTGGACAAATCTCGTGGAAACGAAGAGTCCGCGCAACCCACGTTTAGTTCACGACCTGAGCAGAAATACTCTGCTGGTGCAAAGATTTCATTTTTGCGGCTATGGAGAGGTAAGAATTTTTCCATGTCTTTACTCTGCAGAATGTCTTCCTATCAAATTACTTTATAGATATGCATTTTCTAAACAGGCTGTTGATTATGTGACATCGCCATTAACAAGAGAAATTGTTGAAGGACATTTCCACTCTCTTGTATTTTTCGTGCACGACTCTCTAGGTAGCGAAAATATTCATGAGTTTGTTGACGAATATACTACCATGCTTGGGATCGACGGATCATACTGAACTGATTAACGAGACAGAACAGTTCAGGAAATAAGGTGTATTTTGCAGTGATGTCGGGGATATTGTTGTGAAGGTATGTTCCGGGATTCTTAACGTGTCAATTGTTGTAGTAACATATATGGACGCGCTGAAAATTGGAGAAATATCAGCCAATTCCTATTTTATTCGATATTGGTGATCGTTGGGGGTACCCTGACCAAAGAAGATAAAGTCACATGTGCGTGGGCGAGGCGTTTGGATAGAATTCCATTCGAGGTGCCTCGTGGAATCAAAGCTTTCCAAATTAACGATTTGGACGCTATCGTGAAAAAGTTTAACGATAGTGTTAAATTTGAAACATCTTCAACCGTCACGTAAAAGGGAGGACATTTTGAGCGCGATCTGTTGGGGAAATTAAATATTCCTGCAGTGAATTTGAAAAATATTGGTTGTCCGAAAGCTGCTATAGTCTCTTTGACGATTTGGTCTGGTTGGAGACATGTGAACATCACCTTGAGGCTAATGCCTACCAACATTGTGCCAAAGTAGAGGTGGAAGCCTTCGGGAAGTGGCTGAATCGTCGATTTCAATAAAGGTGTGAAAACCCCAGCTCTCTTAAGAGCCACCACATTGTTCAAAAAAATATGAACGAAATAACGATATTGATCACTAGTAAAATAACGTTAACGCGCGCGTACACCTACACATACACATATACACACAAAATGGTTTCAAAACACATTTATTGCTAACCTTTTTACGAGTTATACATTGAATACAACAATATTGCCTGTAACAATATTGCGTTCCACTTTTATGGTATCGTATGAAATGACATTTGATGTAGCCGTTGGTAAAGTTGGCAAGTACATCCAAGATGATGAAAAGATCCAACTTCCGGCACATTTGACAAATGAATGTAATTAATCCGAAACTATGTGGAAACGAGAAAGCAGTGTTCTGGTTCCCAATTACTCATTATTGTCTGAAGCTACATTGTCCAGAACACAATACTGTTCATGAGCCGGCCTTGTGGACAAATCTCGTGGAAACGAAGAGTCCGCGCAACCCACGTTTAGTTTACGACCTGAGCAGAAATACTCTGCTGGTGCAAAGATTTCATTTTTGCGGCTATGCGAATAACGATACTTATCACTAGCAGACAGAGCAGTTCAGTTCGTGTCAATTGTTGTAGTAACATCTATGGATTCGGCTCCATATATTTCATTTCTTCCGGCCCGGTTTTGCTGTGGTTTATTCGGGCAGTGGACTTGGTCACTATAATTCTACGAAGCCATTACGTCATGTTAGTTGTGAAGCTATATTAATATAATTAATTTAATTACCAGGCCCAATATTTATTAAACAGTGTGTTAACTATTCATATTTATTTTTCTACCTATTATTGAAGAATTAATTGTTAATTGTAATTTTCAAAACGGGCAAAAATATATATTTATTATTATAAGAAATATATATATATATATATATATATATATATATATATATATATATATATATATATATATATATATATATATATATTTATTATCTAACAACGCAATCTTGTTGTCTGTTTTGACACTGTGTAATTATCAATGTCAATGTGATTTTCAAAGAGTTACAGAATAATACTGTCTAATGATATTTCATGCAAGTTACTTTCAATTTTACTGTCAGCATTCATACAATCAAAGCCCATCCATTGACTTCTGAACTACTTATAGAACTAATTGTTTCGTATTATTAGTTCTAATGGCCATGTGGATTGCATTTAATTCACACACATTTGCTGCACTGTTGTTTGTATGTATATATACTTATTTGATAATTCAATCGATAATTCGAACATCAATCACGAATACAATGTTTTATTCTCCTGCTAAAAAAACAGGCAATCGGAATATTTTAATTTATGTAATGGGTTAGAATGTTTTCATTTGACTAATATTCCATTCACGATATGTGGGAATTATGTGGAAGATAGGTGGAAGATATTTCCTATCTTCCACCATATGACAATATTCTTGCCATTGTACATATCTAAATTATTCACTGCCGATGCAATTTAATTGTTTCATAGACACATCAAAGAAAACTACAAATCGGCCGGGGTTTAACACGTTGTTTCAAAATGTATTGTAAATATCTAAGGAGTGCTTTGGCACAACATGAGTGTATTCATAATTCTCATCCCCAAAAATTCAATGGTAGATATGTGGCAAAGTCAGACTTGCGTATATAATATGCTTATCCATATTAATTCAGTATTTTTTACACTGTATAAGAATTTTGGGGAGTGAAACGCGAGTGGGATTTAGCCAGCTACGTCAATGGTTATCCTCCAAAGAACATTTTCGTTTTCTGAAATGACAGATCGGTTGTTGTATCATGAGTTCCCCAGTGATGTTGTATAACGTTTTTGGGGGGCTTCGTGTTACTTTATTTTAGTAGAAAACCCAAAAAGGAATATCTCTTGTTTTTAACAGTTTCGTACTAATTATTTATTTTTAATTATTTCTATATGTGGAAGAAGAAAAGTTAGGCGGCGAGGACGTAGTACTTTGTACAAGGATGAAGAAGAAATTACAGCATTGCAATGTAACAAGCTTGAAGCTGAGAAGAAGGTGAGATCTGATGTTTCATGATTGTATAATTATTATGATGATGATTGTTATTTTTTTTTTATTCCACAAACAAAATATTATAAACAAACATTATTGTTAATTTTCTAAAATTCGGCTTGTTTATGCAGATCGTTTATTTTGCTATAGGAAAATGTTTTATGAAATAAGAAATGGGAGCAACCAGCCGTTTTTTCATGTAAAGTGCAATGCAATAAAACCCAAAGTATCGGTATTGTCATAGCAACAATGGTGACGTCATTTTTTAAATTGAATTACATACCACCCTCTTCCGTTGATATACAGCATTCCAAGCAGCTTGTGCAGCAGTAATACTACCTATTTTGCTCAAGTGCAGAGGTTTTGCGAATTATGACGATTCCGTAATTGATTTTACGACTGTAACTATATATTAAAGGTTAAGATACCCCGTCCCCCGTTTACGGGTACCCTAATGGAGTCCGTACCCTAATGGAGCTTGCATGATAATACTATTTTACTACCCGTGAATGGGAACCGGGTATCTTTACCTCTGTATTATGTTAACCAAGCGGGTTGTGGGTTTACAGCATCTAAATATACCTGGAACTTGAATAACCGTCTATATATGACCTACATTAAAACTGTTACTCCTGTTCCACGCCTTGACTTAATTGGGATGGCTGATGACACTTACGACTAACTGGTCCTCATGCATGAAGATGTCGTTATATGTCAAAAATTGCTTATAGCCATTTATTCCATTTCGCTGTTCAACTTAAAAAATGTTATAATGCATTTAACATTTTAAGATGATCCAGACTCAGAAATTGACCTGCAAAGATCATCCAAGTTCCCTAAATTGGTCCTTGGAGCAGGGGACGAAATATGTAACCTGAATTCTGCATTCATCTGCGCAGAAGGAGAAAATATTGTTAAGTTTGGAGATGCCGTGACAATTGACATGCAGCGCCCTCCTCACACTCCACGCTGCCCACTATGTTTTTAACATCTCTTACCCTCCAAAATGGAAAGACGTTTTCTTGTCCATTGATACCATTTTGTGTGGCATAAAAGATGCTGCGGCAAAAAGAATTTCACTGCAAAATTTCATGTCACAGCTTCATGCATGATTCTGTATATTCAGGATGTTTGATATATAGTTGTGAGGTTGTTTTATGCATGCACGTTGCTATATAGCTTTGATAATCTAACAGAAGATAAACATATTGTGAAAACCAAGATATATTCATTGAGTATAGGCTATATAATAAATTTCTGCCCCATTGATAGGGAATCCGAGGTACCTACTGATATCAATGTAAAGGTAAATCTTTCTCCTCAATTATTGCAAGACCTTAAGTATAGTGGTCCAACCAAGGATTGAACCCGGGTTCTAGCTTGAAAGGCAAGCGTGCATGGTGACCATACACGACACGACATAAGCTGGTATTAATGGTCTCTTGGATTGTTCGTGCTCGACTCTCTCGGTAGCGATCATCCACATATTTTACGCCAACTTTTTTGTTGACCATATTCATGAGTTTGTTGACGAATATGCTACCATGCTTGGAATCGATGGATCACACTGAACTGATTAATGAGACAGAATACTTCAGGAAATAAGGTGTATATTTTATAGTCTGGGATAACGTTGTGAATGTACGTTCCGAGATTCTGAACGTGTTAATTGTTGTAGTAACATATATGGACGCGCTGAAAATTGGAGAAATATCAGCCAATTCCTATTTTATTCGATATTGGTGATCGTTGGTAGTACCCTGACCAAAGAAGATAAAGTCACATGTGCGTGGGCGAGACGTTTGCACAGAATTCCATTCGAGGTGCTTCGTGGCGTCAAAGCTTTCCAAATTAACAAGTTGGACGCTATCGTGAAAAAGTTTAACGATGGTGTTAAATTTGAAACATTTTCAACGTCGCGTAAAAGGGAGGACACTTTGAGCGCGATCTGTTGGGAAAATTAAATATTCCTGCAGTGAATTTGGAAAATATTGGTTGTTCGAAAGCTGATAGTCTCTTTGACGATTTGCTCTGGTTGGAGACATGTGAACATCCCCTTGAGGCTAATGCTGCTGGTGCAAAGATTTCATTTTTGCCGCGGGTAAGAGAGAGGTTTGGAGAGGTAAGAATTGTTCCATGTCTTTACTCAGCAGAATGTTTTCCAATCAAATTCCTTTACAGATCTGCGTTTTCTAAACAGGCTGTTGATTATGTGACATCACAAGGAACATTTCCACTCTCTTGGATTGTTCATGCACGACTCTCTCGGTATCGAAGATCCACATATTTTACGCAAACTTTTTTGTTGAGCGTATTCATGAGTTTGTTGACGAATATGCATGCTACCA